TCCTCCTCTGGTCCTTCTGGTCCGTCGATGGACTTCTTCACGGAGCATTTCCAGCATATGGGGCTCCAGTTCCAGCAGCTCGGTCTTCAGAACCAGCAGCTCATGGACCATCAGGTCCAGTTTTACCAGCAGTATTCGGCCCACCAGGCCGAGTACCGGTCCAGGATGACGGGCGTTGATGAGCGCCTGGGCCGATTGGAGACCCACATGGGACACACTACTGCTCTCATCGAGCGGGAGAGAGACCGAGGCCGCCGTCTGATGGAGTATTCCGAGCATCTGATCCAGGCTTGCCACCCTCCAGCGGAGCACCACTGGACCACCCGGTGGGAGCATTCACCACCACGGCAGCCGCCGGATGATGGCGTCGACGACCTTATGGACCAGATTGATTTCTCCGGTCTCGGAGGGCCCTAGGGGCGTGTTTTGGGCATTTTTATCTGTGTCAGCATGCAAACTGTCTGTTTTGTGTCGTTTTTTGTTTCTTTTTCTTTTCATTTTGGATGCTGTACTATTGGGCTGACCGTTGGACCTAACGTCTGTGTTTGAGCTTATTGGTCTCTTTTAGCTCTGCCTGTGTTTCCGACTGGTCCTCTGTCCAGTCCGTCCCATGCCGACTGGTCCATTTCCAGTCTCCTGCAGTCTGCATACCGGTAACATCGTTCCCCTTTCCTTCCCTCTTCTCCATTGAGGGCACTGTCGATCTTAAGTGTGGGGGGGATGTTTATCTTTTGACTGCATTAGCTCTGTTTGTGTGCTTGGAGCCTAGTCCACTGTCCAAATTTCTACATTTGAGGGCTCCAAGTACGTGTTCCTTGCAATTGCCTGCTCAGTATGCTTTGAATTGACAGTCTCTGTAGTGATTTGCAACCTAGGGAGGTAGTGTAGCACTATGGAGGATGTTGATGCATTTAAGAAGTCTCATTTCTTCTTCATATTGTGTTGGTTGATTGAGTGAATTAGTGATCTTAGGACCCTTGAATGGTGTGGTATTGTGGACTCTCTGCCTGTCATGGACTCTTGTATCATGTTCTGAATGTAACAGGTGCTCGAAATGTGCTTTAAAATGACGTCTCCCATGCGAATAGGGCGAAAGTGTGTAAGGGGAGACGGGAATCCGTTCCCAATTTCCACCTACTACCTCCAGCCCCCTTACATGTCTTTCCCCCGCACGAGGCTCGAGACACCCGCTCCTGGCATGGCCGGTAAGAGCCGGGCTCCCGCAAAACCTTTGCTAGGTGGGAGCCCTCGTTTTCTGCAGAAACAGGTTGGAACCCGTGGAATAAAAATAGAAAAACAGAAAAACAAGCAAAAAGAAGAAAGAAAAGGGTTCCAACCATGTTCACAAAGAAAATCGAGCACCTTGAATTAATGTGAGTCCGTGATCTTTTGTTTGTGAGAGTCTCTTCATCCACGATTCATTTGTCCTCTGTTCACTATTTGCCATGATGCCGATTCGAGACTAGATTTCTCGCCGAAGAGGCTATGAGATGACTTGTGCGTCGGTTGACCTCGTAAGCTGCTAAATGATCTAGGACGTCCGCTACCTACGATCGAGGTTGTTTGTTGCTATAGAGGTCTGGAGAGTTGCATTGGTTTGAGTTGGGTTTGCTTGGGGACAAGCAAACGGTTAAGTGTGGGGGAGTTTGATAGATCGATAATTATACATGTTTACACCCCTATTTTGAAGTCGTTTGTGATGAGGAATCTCGTGTTTTAAGCCGATTTCACGCTAGGTTGTGTGTTTATGTCATATTTCAGGTCCTGGCGTTGGAATCGAGGCGAAGGAACGAGTTCCGGGTCGAAAGGAGCGAAGATGGGATAAAGGATGCTGCTGGACCAAAATACCCGGTCAAATGAAGAAATACCCGGCCGGGTATATTCTGGCCTCGACCGGGTATTTTTCCCTTCGGGCACCCGTGAGAAACAGAAGGGGGCCCGGGCGATGGCCTTAAATCCCCGGTCGGGGTTTTTGATGTTGGACCGGGGATTTTCCCAAAAGTGGAACGACGCGTTTTATGAAATACCCGGTCGAACCATGAAATACCTGACCGGGTATTTCGACCGGGTATCGCGAGGGCAGCTGATAAAAGAGGAAGAAGGCCAATTTTCAAGGGGTTCCGAGTTTTTGAGAGAGAAATTGATTCCTAGAGAGAGAAAGCGACGAACCAGAGTTCCCAAGCGCCCTAGATCGATCTTCAACACCATTGGAGCCCGTCTTGAGCTTGGAGAAGTGCGATTAAACGTCCAGGAGCAGAAATCCAACTTCACAGTATGATTTCCGCGTCTGAATCTGCTTTTGCTTCTTTCTCTATGGAGTAGTTTCCCCATTCATCTGGGTATGGGGAACCCTAGATTTGTATGCTAGGTTTGATTGTATGAACCCAAGTAAAGAGTTTGTGAATTGATTATATTCGATTGAGGTTTGAATGATTGAATGACTTGAATCCTGATCAAATTCCTGTTGTTTCTGCTTTGACCTGGAATGAGAATATCTGCCTAGGTTGATAGAGTACCCTTAATCGAAGGTGGCGAATTGGTGACTTTAGTCGAGGAGCCAATTCGCTATTCTGTACCGAAGTTAATTCGGTAGTGGAGGTTTGGTTCATTAGGGCCTCAATCTGTTTACTCCGGTGGAGGTTAGTCGCCCGCTAGAGACTCAGATTGAGAGGGTCTGGAGACCTTTAGTCGAGACTTCAGGCTAATTGAGAACTTTCCGCAGTATAACTTTCATGAAAACTGAACTTGGTAATTACAATCCGACTTAACTGCAGTCTAGGGGGATCCATATCCGGGTGACCTCTCTTGACTTGACAACAAACCGTTTACTTGCTTTGTATTTTGTTTGCTTGAGTTGCACTAAAAGTTTACCGCTAAATAACAAGAATTCACCGAGTAGTCATCACATCTAGGACCCGGGTTGACAATAAAACCCAAACCCGCTATACTACGCTTTAGGAAGTGGTTGCACTTGGCCATTTTCTAGAGTGACAGTAACAGCGAGTCAGTAGCCTCCCCGAGAACCTGCCCAATCCTCCTGGAAGATTGATCAATCTGCACTCGCATTTGCCGGATTTGGTAGGCTAACTGGGTTGCCGGCGCCAATAGTCTCTCGAAGGCCCAGAGGTTTCTATTTTTCCATAGTTGCCAACAGAAAGTAGCGAAGAGGGATGCGTCTATCGGTCTATGGTATTAATAGTCATCTTTATCACTATGCTTTTCATTTTATTTGTTGCTTCTAATTATAATGATCAACAGATAAGTCAATAAAATATGTGATCGCGTTGACCTATCAATCAATCTGGAATTGTGCAAATTGTTGAACATAAACACTATTTTCAAGAGACATTGTTTTATGCAGGTATAACAGCTCCATTCTCTACTAGCAAAAGCAAAGTCGATCATTTGCCTGGAGGGAGGGAAACATCTTTGGGAATCTTCTTGAAATTCCCCGACTTTTATTGTTGATCATCTGACCTTCCAAAAATAGCGATGAGCATAATGTAATTGTCCATTTTTTTGCAAGAGGATAATAGATTACCAACTAATTCACTAATAATTCTTGAGCTTTACGGATGGTATTCTTTTTAATTAATTTTCTTTATTATAATTATTTATTGTTGTAAATTTTCACTTCATAATGTTAGTATACGTGTAACTATAAACATAATTGTTGAAAGCGTACTAATATTTGTGGATACTCGAAACCTAATATGCTATGAAATAGGTGGCAGACACAAGGACTGTCGTAAATTTAGCATATGTTATACTATCGAGCTAAAAGCCGAGCACAAAGCTAAGAACAAATTTATGGGCACACAAATTTTTGACAAAAAAGTTTTTATTTGTTGGTGGTACATATTTGTTTTAAATTTTTAGAATCTTTCTAATGACATAGTAGACAAATCTATAAGTGTTGACTTTTAGATATCAAAGGCAACACCAAAATCAATTATAAAAAATCCATATTGATTTCCTAAAATTATGAATCTTTTTCAGAAACTTAATTTTCACAACAAATGATTGTATGTTTGAACTATAGAGTGCCTTATTTAATTAAAATTATGAAGAAATAATTGGAATATTTCAGATATGTCCATTATAATACAATTGTACTATCCGTATACATTAATGTTAGCTATTAACAACCACAACTGCTTTTGGAGATATATATTATTTAAAAGTGAATTATTAGTTAATAATTTTGTATTTTCTAAATTTGTACCTAATGGTTGTCGACCATAAAATTTGAATCCTTTATTTGATAAATTTTTATCCCTCCAAATTACTAATAGGGAAAATCCCTTGGAGTTTATAATTAATACTTCAATGCTTAATTATTTTATTTTCATGGATATAATAGAAAAATAAGTGAATAATATCAAATTTTATGAAGAAATATTTTTAAGTAATTTATTCTAACAATAGGAAGTGATTTTTTTCTTAAATGTAAAAAATATATAGACAACAGTAAGCGATAGCATGATCAATACAAATACTTATAAACTAACTAATGTTACAATCAATAATTCGCACAAATATTAGTTTCAACCCACTAATAAATTATTTAGACGATCCCAAATTATTTGAAAATATAAAAAAATAGATTAATACAAAAATATAATAAATAAAACTAAATTCATCCGACCAACGGGTCGGGTAAAAAGCTAGTTTTTAAAAATTACACATCATTATAAAGAGTTTTTACCCAAATTCTACCTCCTTTCTCTGTCCATTGGTGACGAACAGTTTTTACCCATTCTCTCGCACTGAAAAATCAAAGTCAAAGTCTTCCCTTGGCCTGGCCCTTTCCTTGCCTTTAGTTTCCTCAGGCAGGGAGCCATTCTCTCCTCCTCGGGTCCGGCGTTTACCCTTGTTCCCGTCCCGTCCAGTCCAGTCCAGTGATGAAAAGCCCGGAGCCGGCTTCCTACGCTTCTCGGACCCCTAGTTCCGGCCCCCGCTACAACGCCTCCAGCTTCCCTCCTTATTCTCCCACCTCCGCCTCAACCGCCAAGAAGCGCAACCCGGCGGCTGAGGCCTTGAGATCGATCGCCGGCCTCTTCGCTTCTTGCTTCACCCCTCCACAGCTTGACGCCTCTAGCAACTTGGATCCCTCCAATTCTCGTTCTGGTATAGTCTCGGCATGCAGTCTGAAAGCAATCAGCGAATTCAGCGATTGGAAATTTGATTCGATTTCTTTTCTTTTCTTTTCTTCTCTTTGTTGTTTGCAGTTGCGTCTGATGGTTCGGGATCCGGAAAGAGACGACGGAGCTCGGCTGGGGGAAGCAATAGCATCTACGGAAGTCCGACCCACAACCACAAGCGAGAGCCAGGGAGCCAGGGAGCATGAAATTTACCATTGACCAGATCTACCGAGCTTCCAACTCATTCTCGCTTCAAGATCGGCCAAGGTGGTTTCGGGACCGTTTACAAAGGAAAGCTCGAATGATGTGTAATTTTTAAAAATTCAATTTTTATTTTTTAATTATTTTTTATTTGCCACGTCACACATTTAACGGTCAACTGTCAGAGTTGACCGCCACGTCAGTCAAAGTTAACAGAGGTTAACGGAGAGTGACCGAACTTGAACTGTACAACTAATTCGAGTGACTATAAATGGAATAAATTAATTTGAGTGGCAAACGTGAAATTTTATAGCAATTCGAGTGACCAAACTTGCAATTAAGCCGAATTTAAATGATAAAAAGAACACTAGAAACTAAAAATAACAGCTAACTTCAATACACATTTGAATTAGCGAGATAATTTTTATGTTTAGAAGAGTAATTAATCGTTCCACAAGCTCTAATCAGCTCTCGAGCTTAGCTCAACAAGTCATTGAGTCAAGCTAGCTAACGAGCTTATCAAACTGAGTTTTTTACTAACGAGTTGGCTCGTTAAATACCAAATCAAGAGTCGAACGAATTTTTTTCGATTCGATCTTCGAGTTGCTCGTGAGCGGCTTGGTTCATTTGCAGCCATATCTACCATGTGAACGAATGGTTGACTGATTTTAATATAGCATTATTTTATCAATGTCTTAAGAACTAGATCATATCGACCGATCAATCTAGAAATATTAAATATTGAACCCAAACAATAGACGATTTTAAATAGTACAAAACGATTCAATTACAATTCAACCATAATTTTAACACAAAATAACTTATCATTAAATTTTCCATTATAACTTTCGATATGTTTTCGCACCATTATTACAAACTAAGCGACTTGATTAGGGATGACAATGGGTCGGGTTGGGTCGGGTTTTGTCAAACCCAAACCCATGGGTTTATCCGCCAAAAAACCCGGGGTAAAACCTGTTGGGTTTGAAAAACTCAAACCCAACCCAACCCTCTGGGTATCCACGGGTTCATGGGTACCCGTGGGTTTTTGTGGTAAAATATTTACAATAACAAGTTTCTTTTCAAATAAAAGTTTAACATCAATTTTCTCATACAAATTAATCATACAAAAAAACACCAATCTAGAGCATACAAGCAAACCGCAAATAATCAATACAAATTGTTCAAAATTAAAGATAAACATCTATAAACAAAAGATTAATTGAAATCTTATTCCTCGTCAACTAAGTTTCTTCACTCTCCACTTCATAATATCAACTTCATTCTAAACAATTAGAAAGAACAAATTATACATGTCTCCACAAACATAAAGAATATTAATTGTTTAAGGAAAATATATTATTTAGAATATTAAATATATCGGAAAAGTAATTATATGTGTGTGGGCGGGTACCCATGGGTCAGGTTTACCTAAACCCAAACCCAACCCGACCCGGTGAATAGTGTAGCGAGTTTAAACTCGAACCCGACCCAAAACCGTCAACACGGGTTACCCGCGTTGACCGGGTTGGGTCGGGTGGGTACCCGTGGGTTCGGATTTTGTTGCCATCCTAGACTTGATGTCTCTGTTTTCTTGTAAATTAAAAACGGGCTTAATTGCAAGTTTGGTCACTCGAATTGCTTAAAAATTTCACGTTTGCCACCCGAATTGATTTATTTCATTTATAGTCACTCGAATTAGTTGAACAGTCCAAGTACGGTCACTCTCCGTTAACCTCCGTTAATGACGACCGTTAAGTGATGACGTGGCTAACAGAAAGACACAGTCAGCACATTTAAACATTAAAAAAAGACAACCCGACCCGCCAGCTCACCCTTACCCGCACAGTCAGCCATTCTTGCCCAAACCCGCGAACCAGACCCAATTAACTGATCCTAAACCCAAACCAGTGACCCAACCCCCCCTGAAAACTAAATCGCAGACCCAATTAGGGCATTTCCCTTCCTCTCCATCTTCATCCTCTCATCCTCCCGACCGCCTCTCTACTTTGCACACCGCGAAAATCGCCGTCGAAGGGATGGAGGCCGCCGCGCCGCCGCCCTGAATCCCTCACCCCTCCCGCGTTTGTTCTTCCTCCGCCGCGACCCTTCTTCGCCCGCTGCTGTTTTTCCCCTTTTGCAACCCGCCCAAAAACCTAAATCGAAGCCATCGAAGCCGCCGTCGCCCTGAATCCCTCCCTCCCGCGTCTGTTCTTCCTCCGCCGCGACTCTCCTTCGCGCGCTGCTGTTTCCCCCCTATTGCAACCCGCCCGAAACCCTAAATCGACGAAGGAGACAGAAGAAGGAGACAGAAGAAGCCGTGGTTGACGAAGGTTCACGAAGGAGACAGAAGAAGCTTTCTCTCCTGTTTTAAAGGTAACGCTCACCTGCTTCCCCTCTTCTCTCCTCTTCTCTATTCTTCGCTTTTATAACCCGACGAGTAAAGGAAGAGTTGTCGCTGTCCTGGGGCAAGGGGAATCTTTTGGGGCTGGAACTTTACCTTTCTTTATACTGATGGTGGAGTTTTTGTCAGTTTTTCCAGCTCAGCCTTCACCATGGTGGGTCATGTGCGTGCACCAAATGCGCCCCAACCAAAATATGGTGAGTCAACTGTCCCTGAAACAGCTCCCCTTTATTGCAGTAAAAGACATCAGTTTGTTGTCTTTTTCGAATTGAAAAATAGGAAGTGTGTGAAATAGCAAAACCAGCAGCATGCGTGAAGTGGTTCAGATGTCATTTTCATGGCTTTTAATACTAGTTGTTGGGTTAAAGAAGTTAGACTTTTAGCATCTGCCCTTTACTGCTTTGTCATTTTAATTACTCATTCTCTCTTTCGTTGTTTGCAACAAGTACTTCTAGTGGAGAGTTCACATTTGAAGTGCACTTATCAGAGTCATCGAAGAAGAAGGGTGGCAAGCATTTTCTGGATGAGAAGTCTACAGTCTACTGGGACTATGCAGATATCGACGAGTTATCAACGCTTGATCTGCCTGACATATACAAGGCATGTGGAGGGAACCTTGACAAGCCGAAGTTCTTCTGGAGCACTCCTTCAACTGATGCTATGTCAGAGATCACGTCAGATGAAAAATACTCGCCATGTCAACAAGTGCAAATGAAGAGGCGAGGGTCATCGAACTATATGCCATCTCTGAGGAAGACATTGCTGAGATCATGGACAGTGATGATGACGAAGATGGAGGTGCCACCAAGGGTAAAAAGGGTAAAGAAGTTGCTGGTCGTGATTCGGATGATGATGATAGTGATTATGAGGCTAGTGAAGAGGAGGATTTTAGCAGAGCTGACAATCTGCAGTTTGAAAGAAGCGTAGCTGCAGATGTAGAAGCTGATTTCTACACCGAAGAAGACGAAATTGAGAAGTGCAAGAAGACTATCATAGAGGCAGAAAAGGGTTCAGATGTCGACTCAGACGATCGAAGGACAATTTGTAGCTCGGATGAAGATGAGGACAGTCAACAGGTGGAGTTTCGAGCTGAGAGAGACATGGAGAGTCCTACCTTCGCTGTTTCGCAAAGATTCAGCAGTTTCGACGAGTTGAAAGAGGCCATAAAGCAGCATGCCTTTGTGGAAAAGCGCCCCATTCGCTTCAAGAAGAACGACAAGAGGAGGCTGCAAGCAGTATGTGCTGATCCATGTGATTGGTATATATGGGCCTCCAAGATGATTCTCACAGATGCAGTACAGATCAAGAAGTGCAAGCTACAGCATTCTACAGATTGCCGGAGGACATTTAAGGTGAAGTTTGCAACTGCCAAGTTTCTTGGAGATAAACTTGCTGGGAAGATGGCAGCAGACAAGAAGATGAGCAAGGGGCTGCTCAAACAGATATGCAAGGAAGACTTTAAGGAAGATGTATTGGATTCAAAGGCATGGAGGATTCGAAGGGCTACTCTTGAGAAGGTTAGGGGCAGTTTTATAGAGCAATTCCGAGGGCTATACCACTATGCTGAGGAATTGAGGAGGAGCAACCCAGGTTCTACAGTGATCATCGAGCAGAGAAATCAGCACTTTGATCGGATGTATGTGTGTTTCCAGGCTTCAAAACTGGGTTTCAGGGCTGGTTGCAGGCATGTCTTGGTTATTGATGGCTGTTTTTTGAAGCATGAGTATGGAGGTCAACTCCTTTCAGCAGTGGGTATTGATGCAAATGATCAGTACTTCCCAGTAGCCTTTGCTCATGTACCTGTGGAGAATAAAGAGAATTGGGAGTGGTTCTTGGAGCTCATCGCTAGTGACTTGGAGGTTAGAGACAATCCCGGATGGACTTTCATGTCCGACAAACAAAAGGTATGCTTTCACTTTATTTATTCCTTGTTTTGTGCTTATAATTCTCGGTTGTCCAGAATTTGAATTGTGTGTTATTGGTGTTTTAGGGACTAGTGCCAGCTCTCGATGGACTCTTCCCATCCTGTGAGAAGAGGTATTGTGCAAGGCACTTGTGGACCAACTTCAAAGGTGCTTGTGGGGGGTCCCAAAACATGAAGAACCTGTTCTGGGCAGCAGTTAGAGCGGAAACGGTGCCTGAATTTCGCAACCAAATGCAAGCCCTATCGGAGTACAACAAGGCAGCCTATGATTGGTTGATCGACAAGCCATTCTACCATTGGACAAGGTCACATTACCAAACCCTCTGCAACTCTAAGATTCATACGAGCAATTTGGTGGAGAGCTGGAACAATGTGATTATAGAAGAGAGGGATATGGGTCCTGTATGAATGTGGGAGGGGATTAGAAGAAACTTGATGGTGTTATATGCCCACAGAAGGAAAATGGTGGAGAGCTGGACATCTATGTTCACTGAGAAGATTGAGAAGGAGCTAGATGAGACTACTGAAGAAGCATTGAAGTGGTCAGCAGAAAGTAATGGGAACGGACAATTTGAGGTGAGGTGGCACAGCCACCAAGTTGTGGTCAATCTGAAGAACAAGACATGTACATGTAGACATTGGGAGTTGACCGGCATTCCGTGCTCACATGCTATCACTGCAATCAGGAAGGCAAAGCTTCTGATCAAGGACCATGTTGTTGATTGCTACCTGCGAGAAACAGCGGCGAAGATATATGAGTTCTCCATTTCACCTACTAATGGCAAGGAGTATTGGCCAATTTCTGAGTTGGGGGATTGTGGAGTCCCTCCAGTTGCAAACTCGAAAAAGAGGGGCAGACCAAAGAAGCAGAGAAGAAAGGGACTTGATGAGGATGAGAAGGGGAAGAAAAAACAGAAGAAGGGTGAAAGGGAATCATCAAAGCCGGAAGGAAGAAAGTACGCGTGCACCACATGTGGGGTAGTTGGGCATACCAAACTGTTCCATAATGAAGAAAGGAAGAAAAAGGTGGAGGAAAGGAGACAGGCTAAGGAACAGGCTAAGGAAGAAGCTAAAAGGGCGAAACAGCTCGAAAGAGCTGAAAAAAATAGATTGGCAGCCATACAGAAGCAGCAACAGAGGGCTGCAAAAGCAGCAGCAAAAGCGCCACTGAGTCAGCCCAACACTGTCCAGCTCATGCCAGATGTAAGCATTTATTCAATTTTACAGTTTTGCTTTATAATCAAGTCCTACTATCTTCTAATGTTGTTTTAACTTCGCAGGGAACTACTAGGAGGCCACGGATTGAGGCATCACAGCAGCCCACACAAGGATGTGGAGGATCGCAAAATGTAAGCCAAGTGACTCAAGAGCACGAGTGAAGATTAGATGAAGTTTAGGTCCAAATGATAATTACCATTTTGAAGCCTCCAATTGGCTAGTAATGTAGACGTTGAATGTTGCTTTGTCGTATTAGATAGCCTATTAGATAATGGTGAATTGCTCTTTTGGAAAAACACTGTCCTCGAGGCTATAATTATCATTTGGACCTTGTAAGACTAAGTTTTATAAATGACTATAAGGTTTATCAATCTTCCAGTACATTGGAAGGTTCTTTTGCACAAACAAGTTTCTTAGTTGTTCCATTCGTTCACCTACCTGTCAGTGACCAAACATGAAACTATTAAGCAATTCCAGTGACCAAACTTGAAACTATTAAGCAATTCCAGTGACCAAACATGAAATGGATAAGCAATTCAAGTGACCAAACTTGAAACTATTAAGCAATTCCAGTGACCAAACATGAAATGGATAAGCAATTCAAGTGACCAAACATGAAATGGAATCGCAATTCAAGTGACCAAACATGAAATGGAATCGCAATTCAAGTGACCAAACATGTTTCGAATTAACAATTAAAGTGACCATACATGGAATGAATTAGCAATTCCAGTGACCTTACATAGAATAATACTGGCTTCCACATTGTCAACAACTAGATAGATCTCTCTACTACATCAACTACACATCAACCGATTTAAACACCTGCAACTACAACTACACAGACGCCTTATCACTTTCCTATCCAAAACAAAGAAAATACAATAGCTCCTAAAATGATGAACGACACCATTTTCCGATCAAACTTGGACACCTTCTTGTCTTGCCTCTTCTCTAGCTCCCGAATTCGACGATGAAAGTTTAGCAACACATTTCTCATATGCTCATCAAGGGCTGGGTCAAGCCATCTGAAGTAGTTACATGCTCCATTTGTCTACACACCATCAAACAGAAAAATAGAAGGATGAAAAAGGCGGCATAATAGTCGAATCGTAACATTAAAAAGGAAACAAAGGTGGATGAACCTTACCCCATATCTGCTGCATCCATAAAACCTTCTTCCTGGATTCGCCTCAGTCCAGCTCGTCTTCAGATCTGTTGGCTCTCCACAGTGACAGAAGGGAGCCGCCATTGTTAGAGGTGAAGTGGGAGGAGGAGGAAAGGAAGAGGTGGATGGGGATGGGGTGATTCTCGCGCAGAGTAAAGAGGAAGAGATGGTTAGGGATTCACTTCATGGGGATGGGGTGATTCTCGCGCAGAGTAAAGAGGAAGAGATGGTTAGGGATTCACTTCAGAGGGGTAGACTTATACAAGGGGGCTAGATTCAGGGGGGGTTGGGTCACTGGTTTGGGTTTAGGGTCAGTTAATTGGGTCTGGTTCGCGGGTTTGGGCAAGAATGGCTGACTGGGCGGGTAAGGGTGAGCTGGCGGGTCGGGTCGGCTTTTTTTAATATTTAAATGTGCTGACTGTGTCTTTCTGTTAACCACGTCATCACTTAACGGTCGTCATTAACGAAGGTTAACGGAGAGTGACCGTACTTGGACTGTTCAACTAATTCGAGTGACTATAAATGAAATAAATCAATTCGGGTGGCAAACGTGAAATTTTTAAGCAATTCGAATGACCAAACTTGCAATTAAGCCATTAAAAACGACTTGGTATCTAGTTCTCTTTTTGTTACGTGTTACCCAATTTACCGTTTCATTATTTTGTCGTTTGTGCCAACCGTTCTTCACCAACTCTTTCCCCACTTTCTCCTATCGTCCTTTTGCTTAACTTTCTAATCTTTTACTTTCCCGGGAACCCGCGAGTACAGCTGTTCCGATTACCGCTTCCGAACAACCGCCGTTATGAAAAACCATGGCAGAGCAGAAGTCATTATCGATTTGGGCTTCATCTCCCCGACCGGCTCAGAATCGAAAGCGCTATCAGCGAATATTGTCTGCTACTGTTCGTGCTGGGGGAGAAAACATGCATCAGAATGGGAGGAAGGTTTGCCGGCGAACGAATTTTCTTGCCGGGATTCTTCTGCTGGACCTGGGTTTTGGGGGTTCTTCCCTCCTTTTCCATCTATACTGGTACTCTTCACTGTCAATTCTTTGTTTAGGTTAATGGGTTCTCAAAGGTTGGGGTTGGTTGTCGGCGCCAGCCAGTCAGCCAGCCTTACAGGCCGTTCTGTCACTATCTGTCGGTATTGTCTGTATCCCAACCATGATTCTCCCCCTTTCCCATTATTTATTTACTCCGCCGCTCTATTCTTTACCAACTCTACTGTATTTTAAGCACTTGAAAACGGTCTCTGAAGATTGATTCAATCTAAGTTCAATGATCGAAGGAATAACATTATCAAAGTAATCAGAACTGTTGCAAGCTGGAAGAAATTATATATGCTTGCCATTTCTCTGCTTGACTTCCTTTTTCCAGCCCATAGTTCCTTCCTTCCAGTGGCATAACAACAAGGCAGAATGAACGGAAGACCCCCACCCCCACCCCACCCATTAAACAGATAAACCCCACACCGCACATCCATTTCGCTTTCTTTTTTTGTGTGGGTTGGTTTGATTGATTTATTTGCTTTTGTTTCCCATTCATTGTCTTTGTTTCTTCCTTTCCCCTCAACTCAACTCAGCTGATAGCCTCTCTCCAGTCAAGTCTCTTCAGGCCTTTCTGATTTGTAAACTGCATTGCATTTGGGAAATGCGGCTGAATTGATTACTCATTCTTCTGCTTCAGCTGTCGCCTTCCCAAGCTCTAATTTACTTTCTCATTGAAGATCGATCGAACCATCGGTCACCCCATCATTTGCTCTGCTTGCTTACTTCCCTATTCAGGTTCCTTCCTTCCTCAATTCACCTACATCTCTTAAAGCTTGATTCTTTTGGTCCTTTGACGTAGATAGAGATGGGATATGGCAATGCATCTGTATTGTAGTTTAACCTCACTCCCAGATACCATGTTTCCGCTTAGCATTCCTTTTTCCAGCTCTAACTTCCAATTCTCCTCCTGCCTTGCCCTTTTGCTCTCTTATCTAATACTCCTTTTATGCTCTCCTTTTAATGCAGCTTCAATCAATGTTCGTTGCTGGTTAGTGGTTAATTGATTTGTCTTCAGAAGTGGGAAACTGGGTTCCCGTACCATATGTCAAAGACTCTTGCAATCACCGTAGGTGGTGTTGCAGGAGCCGTGGCATTGGTTGGGGTAATAACCTTTTGCATATGGTGCTACTGCCGCAAAAACAAGAGGGTTTCCAGAACCTCGGAGACTGGATCTTCTGACCCATCTGTTCAAGGTATCTAATTTCCCCACCACCCCCAAGTTTTTGCTGATGTGATTTCCTTTTTGCTTTACTCCTCTTTCTCTAATGTTCTTTTAATTTTTTATTGTTGGTCACCGTCTTCAGCGGGAAGACATGTTGGGGTTGAGCTGTCTGTACCAGAGGCAAAGAGGTTTGACATGGAAGATTTGTCTCTGGCCACCAAGAATTTCAGCCACCAGAACTTGATTGGTGTTGGCAAATTTGGTGAGGTGTACAAGGGTCTGCTCAACAATGGGATGCTTGTTGCTGTGAAGAGCCGATTTGGAGCTCCTACTCAAGATTTTGTGGATGAGGTACTGATTTGATCATTCTCATTTGCAGTGCAGCTACTTAGATTAGTCTAAATAGTGTGAACGTAGTTTCCTTTCTGATTGTGGGATGGGTATCTGCATTGTGTCTTCTTAATTGTGTTTCCCAGTGTACCATTTTAGACTAAGCAGTAATGTAACTTCTCCAATAAAGTGGAATCCTTCGCATTGTTCTTTGCTTGATCCTAGTATGCTGAATTAAATTTCTCAGGCACGCTATCTTTCAGCTATCCAACATCGGAATATCGTGACTCTGTTTGGATATTGCCAAGAGAACAACATGCAGTTCCTCATCTATGAATATGTACCCAATGGGAGCGTTTCCAGTCACTTGTATGGTAACTATCTATCCAGTCGCCAATATGGCAGCTGAGAAGCTAAATACATTCTGCAGTTAATGTGTTAATGTAGCCTTTGGAAAATTGCGTTTCTCATGGAAAAGGTTGAAATTTTGATGTCAGGGCTAGGTCAAGTATCAGATGGGCAGCTGGAATTCAAGCATAGACTTGCAATCGCTATAGGGGCAGCTAAAGGTGATCCTCTGCAAAATCAGTGACAATTTTGGCTTTCCTGGTATTAGTTGCTCCTTTTTCAATTTTAAGATAATCTATATCTGGTTTAAGTACCTCAAAAGAGTATGAGCAAGCATTTTATTATTCAGACTGCAAAGATTGTTTCTAGTAAGCCTGTTGAGCATTTAGAGTGACGGATAGGTCCTTCGCCTTTATACAATAAGTGTAAAAGGAGCTGGAGTAAGAGACCGCCTCATGTTATGATTTTTCTTGCTGTCCAGGTCTTGCTTATCTTCATGCTCTGAGACCTCGATTAGTGCATAAGAACTTCAAGACTACAAATGTGCTGGTGGATGAGAATTTCATAGCCAAGGTAGCAGATGCAGGGCTTCGTAATTTCCTGGGAAGAGGAGGTGAGGGTGGAGCGGGCCCTTCTACACAAGTGGCAGTTGACGAGATATATCTTGCTCCAGAGTAGGGCTATTTCAGCAAAATTCAAAACTTTCCCCACAATTTATCCATCCTAAGTCCGAAGCTGATTACTTTTGAGAAAGACACATTGATAGTTTACCTTCTGTGTATGGGGATGCAGGGTGAGGGAGTTCAGGCAATTCTCGGAGAAGAGTGATGTGTACAGTTTCGGTGTGTTTGTGGTGGAGTTGATCAGTGGAAGGGAAGCATCAGACCAGAACATGGCAGAATGGGTAAGCTATGAGCCATTCTCCAAGACATTACATATGAACAATGATCAAGTTATATGGACTGTGTTGAATGTGACTGTCTAATATGTGAAACTCTAATGAAGGTACAAAGCAGTGTCGAGGGAGGCATCAGTAGCCGAATGGTTGACGAGAGGCTGGGGAGCAGCTTCACGTCGGAAGGAATGGAGGAGCTGATGGGTTTGGCGATTCGTTGTCTGGAAGGGTCAAGCGAGAGGCGGCCAGCAATGAGCTACGTGGTGATGGAGCTTGACCGGATCCTGGAGAAAGAGATGAAGGTCAGTACGGGGATGGGGGAAGGTGTTGCCCCAACCGTGACTCTGGGTAGCCAGTTATTCAGGCCTTCCCAATAGAGATCAATGCAATGCATATAGAATCTGGGTTTTTTTCAGTGTGGGGAACATAGGATGGAGTGTGTGTATTTATTTTCCTTTCTCTGTGATTAAAAATTGTTTACTTCTTTAAATTGAGAGGGTGGATAAAGGAGTAGATCAGAAAAGAGTACTGAGAGTAGCTGTTTGATTAATGGCAAGTGTATAAAGAAGAGAAGAGGACAGCTGCTGGGTTCATTGTTGTCATTAATATTCTTTTTCATCTTTTGGTGGTTTGGGGAAAAAGAGAGAATTTATATGGAGGGGGATGTGTTCATTTGTTGTAAAATCAAATAATCAAATCATTATAAATGCCAATTCGATTGTTATTGTCAATTGCTTGAGTCTCAGACTGTTGACTGGCTTTATGTATGAATGAGAAAGAAATCTGAAATTGTGTACTCTGTCCTCTGCTGCTCTTCTCTGGCACAGCTTATTCTCGTTTCTCTCTTCTGCATCGATTCATCCATCTATCCATCCATTCATTTATTGTATTCCCAATTGCTTTAGCACAGGGATGATGTAACGAACTTGATTGAGATGCTACTCGACATGTCTTCTGCAGTTTGCAGTAATACTTAACAGTAGTTTGGGCCCAGCTTTGTGACATTTGCATCTTTCCCCGCTATTGAGAATTCTAGCCATAAGACTACTGTATTGCAAAAATGCTTCCCGTCCCATATACCTTCATTCATGTGTTGTCTAATTGGCGTAGATTGCATAGTGTCACATTAGTTAAGAATTGAAGTTAAGTGAGCATATAGTTAGAGACCCCAAAATTTATCTGCTAAGACAGTTCCGATAGCAAATTTTTTAAGAAGCATACCATGCTGCTTGCTATAGACATTTTATCCTGAGCTCATGTAGTTCCCATTTAGGTACGAATACACTGAACTATAATGCTCCTCTAACCTATAAATAGAGACCTTCATTCATTTATTCAAGCAGCAGCACGTGATGCAGTCTCCCTGCCACTTGCTGCTCCGTCCCTGTCACCCTCGAGCCGACTCAACACCAGCTTATGCTGAGGAAGCTGGCCATTCGAAAATGCTGTCACCTCTATGTCAATTACAATGGTATCTTCATCTTTGAACTCTCCCCTCAGGATACCCTTGGCCACTTCGTTCTCGACATTCTGCTGGATAACTCGCTTTACTGGCCTAGCACCGTAGCTCGGGTCATATCCAAGGCTACCCAGAAGCTCTACTGCAGGTTCTGTCACCTGTAGTTTCATCTTCCTATCTGCAATCCTCTGCTGCACACGGGCCAACTGCAAAACGCGCACCTCAAAGAGGTTAGCAAGAACAGATAATCTACAGGAAAGATTTAAATGATTTGTTAGGAGAAAAAGCTGAAGCACACACGCCCAAACATCAGACCAAACTCACCTGTAACCTGACGATCTTGTTTATCTGGTCGCGATCCAAAGGCTGGAAAACTATGTACTCATCAACCCTGTTCATGAACTCAGGCCGAAACACTGATCTCGCAGCGTCCATAACCCTCCGCTTGATAGTCTCGTATGCAACCTCCTTCGGTAGCTCATCATCTGTATCGAGAATATACTGCGAGCCCACATTCGAGGTCATTATAATAACGGTATTGGTGAAACTAACTGTCCGACCTTGTGAATCAGTCACCCTCCCGTCATCTAAAATCTGAAGGAAGACATTGAACACATCAGCATGAGCCTTCTCTATCTCATCGAACAAAATAACTGCATAAGGCCTCCTGCGAACTATCTCCGTCAACTGGCCACCTTCCTCGTACCCTACATAGCCAGGTGGAGCACCTATCAGTCGTGACACTGCATGCTTCTCCATGTACTCACTCATGTCGATTCGTACTAAAGATTCCTCTGTGTTGAACAAGTATGATGCAAGAGCTTTGGCTAGTTCCGTCTTCCCAACACCGGTGGGTCCCATAAACATGAAACTAGCAATGGGCCTACGGGGATCTGAGAGCCCAGCACGAGACCGCTGAATTGCCTCAGCTACGGCAGTGACAGCAGGATCCTGACCAATTACCCGTTTGTGTAATTCTTCCTCTAAATGGAGGAGTTTTTCTCTCTCAGATTGCTTGAGCTTCAAGACAGGAATGCCGGTCCACCTGCTCACAATTTCAGCAATGTCGTCCCCTGTAACTTCTTCTCTTAACATGGACTTCCCTGATTTCATGTACTCATCCAACTCTACTTCCGCAGTTTCAAGTTGACGTTGCAAGGAATTCAAGCTCCCATACTTGAGTTCAGCAGCACGATTGAGGTCATATTCTCGTTCAGCTTGTTGAATTTCCAGGTTCACCCTGTCTATCTGTATAAGATAGATGTGCCTCGTAAGTGGTTTCATATTAAACTAGCAATGAAGGAGAAGGGTAGATTCAAATAAGAGTTCTGATTACCTCTTCCTTAATTGACTGCATACGAGTCATGACTGATTTCTCATGCTCCCATTGCTCAGTTAGCTCAGCTTGTTTCTTCTTCAACAGCGACAATTCACCCTCGAGGCGACTCAACCTATCTTTTGAGGCTTTATCTGTATCGTTAGTGAGAGACAGCCTCTCCATTTCCAGTTTCAACACTGTCCGGTTGATTTCATCGAGAGCGGTGGGTTTTGAAGTAATTTCCATCTTCAGTTTTGCAGCTGCTTCGTCAACTAGATCAATGGCTGTAATTCAACATGCATAATGTACACATCAACCACAGAAAACCTACGACTGAAAGCACCTAAAAACCATATAAGTTATCAGCAACAAAGGATATAAATCCATATAGTCTCTATTAATTTACCTTTGTCAGGCAAGAACCTCCCACTAATATAGCGGTCAGAAAGGATTGCAGCTTCCACTAGTGCACTATCAGAGATACGAACTCCATGATGTAGTTCATACCTTTCACGCAATCCTCTCAAGATGGAAATTGTGTTTTCCACTGTTGGTTGGTCGACATAAACTTGCTGAAAACGTCGCTCCAGAGCAGGATCCTTCTCAATATACTTACGATACTCGTCCAAAGTTGTAGCACCGATACAGCGCAACTCCCCACGTCCAAGCATTGGCTTCAAAAGATTTCCCGCATCCATCGCACCATTTGTAGCCCCTAAAAGAGATGTCAGCATGTCTCAGTTTCCACCCAAATTAGCATCACTCACGAGACTAGATGATTATAAATGCCTTTTAGAATATCAACTATAGGAAACTAGCACACTGGAGAAAACTAATCACTCACGCGAGGAAGTCAGTAAGATAAAAAAAAAAAAAAAGATTAGCAAAGCCGTTACCTGCCCCAACCACAGTGTGTATCTCATCAATGAAAAGGACAATCTGGCCATCCGAATCTGTAACTTCCTTAAGTACGGCTTTTAATCTATCCTCAAATTCTCCTCTGTATTTAGCTCCAGCAATTAGTGCACCCATGTCAAGGGATATCAGCTGCAGTTCGAGATCAAACCCGAATGTCACCACCGGGTATCAGAACTATGAAATAGTAATTCCTACTCACACTGAAGTAAATAGCTTCCCTAATTGTTCCAAAAGATCTCATGAAATGGTACTAATATCTTATATCAAGAGCACACCTTGCGGTTCATTAAAGCTTGTGGTACATCCCCTTGGACAATCCTCTGTGCAAGCCTGCCCAACAAGCAAATAAAGAGTTAGGAGATGCTTCTTTCCCCCCATTTTCTGAAAGAAGAGTTAGAAGAGGTTGTAGTCACTCAAAGAGGCTTCTGAGGAGATCATAAAAGAGAATGCTTTACATTGAATAGCCAAACAAATCAAGTCAATCTAAATTCAGAACTTTCATAAAAAAATCTTTAACACAATTCACGAATAAGAATCATCATCAACTTGCCTTCTTTGAATGAGAAAATTTAATGCTTACCCTTCAGAAATTGCAGTTTTGCCCACACCAGGTTCACCAATCAACACAGGGTTGTTCTTAGTCCTCCTAGAAAGAATTTGAATACACCTACGTATCTCATCATCCCTTCCAATAACAGGGTCCAATTTCCCTGCTCTTGCCATGGCAGTCAAGTCTTTCCCATATTTATCCAGTGCTTCATACTTACCTTCGGGATCTGCACAAAAGCAATCAAAGGAGACTCACTTCTGAGAGTCACATAGAAGCAATTCAAGAGCTCCAGAGCTAATGCTTCCCAATCTTTTATAGCATGAGAGTGCACGACCTAATTCAAACATTTCTGAACCAACCAAGCATAAAAATGCAAATTTTCTAAAGAAGATTTTACCTTGATCAATTACAGACTGACGTCCCCTGATAGACTCTACTGCAGATTTTAAAGGTGCAAGAGAGATTTGAAAATCCTTAAACAATTGGCGGCCAAATCGTTGGTCCTGAGCAAAAGCAAGAACCAAATGCTCAACGGAGATGAAGGAATCCCCATACTCTTTCTTGTATTCCCGAGCCCGCTGAATCAATCCTTCCAAATCACGACCCAGCATTGAACCAGCCGACTCACCAAGAACCTGGAATGGCATTGCCACTCATAGATGAGAATCAAGTAATGTAAACTAGCTAAACCCAAGTTTTAAATTGGAGCTGGGGCAATCGAGCAATTAAGCATTTCAACTACGCAGGTTAAGCTTCTATAAATGATGAGCGTAGAGTGTAAAAAGTATATACCTTGGGCTGGCGTTGGATGAACTTATCAGTGGCTTCGAGGAGGCGAGTGTTATCAACACCGACCTTGGAGAAGATCCTGCGAGCAAGACCATTCTTCTGCTCGAGGAGTGATTTCATCAAATGCTCGGTCTCAACAATTTGATGCTTGTTCTCTTTGGCGACGTCGGGGCACGACACAATCGCTTGCCACGCCATATCAGTGAACTCCTGTTGAGTAATCTGCGAAATGGGGCCGAAAAAAATCCAATCTTTAGACAGCAGAAATGAGAAAAAAGCACGAAACGATTAATTGAAGGACTTTGCGAATTCCACTCACCCTTCCGCTGCTGGAAGCATCACATCGAACAACGAATGACTTGGCGGGCGGAGTCCTGTGGTGAAAGCCGTCGGTGGTCTTGAGACGGAAAGGAGGGTTGAAGGAAGTACGAATTGTAGGGCGAAAGCGGAGGGAGTTGGGAGTCGAAGAAGAGGAGTGGATACGGAGAGAAGTCGTCGGACTCGGCCGGCGACACAAACTGACCCCGGCGAAAGACGCGGTACCGGTGGCCGCCATTGTACTTGATGGAAAAGAATGCGAATGAGATGAAGAATGCGAACCAATTGCGTGCTAATGGGGGAAAGGGTCCATTCGTTGTGGGCGTGATTCTGAGAGTGGCGAGGAAAAAGAGAAGAGTTTGCTTTAGCGAGGGACGACGGAAGAGTGTGGACGGTTCGCGAGGAGTTTCTCACTCTCTCTCTTAAAACTTC